TGACGACACCAGGTGGTCCAGCAGCACCAATGCGGAGCAGGATCGGGGAGGCACAGAGGAAGGCAGGCACTGACCTTGACTGTCGTGCTCAAAACGGGCTGGAAATGATCAGGACTAAGTTCTAGGCTCGGTACTAACCACCAGGATCTCCTGCCGAGGGATGGCAGCTCCAAGGGTGTGCCTGCCTAAGGAGAACCCTGTGGATGTCCTGGTTTATCACAGGGATCCGTGAGAGCCACAAACACGGCTCGTGAGCCTCAGCAGGAATGGGCACCTCCCCTCCAGAGGGCAACACTCAGCACCTCTGTTTACTGAACACATCTCACCCAGAAGAGCTGCAGAGAAAAGGCTGCTACAGGGAGTAAACAGGAGATGAGAAAATATTTTGACTTGCCAGCTGCAGAGCCAAAGGTTGTGGGTGCTGGACTTTGGAGACAAAGAGCAGTGGCATCTGGGTTGGAGAAAGGCACTGGGCAGCCCAGCAAAACAGCCAAAAAATAAAGCAGAAAGAAATAAGCCAAATAAAACAGCAAACTGCAGAAGGAAAGAGAGGAAGAAGGAATGAAGGAAAAAAAGAAACCCAATAAAAGAGCAAACTACAAAGCTACCCATTGACCCAGACAGGAAATGGGTTGCAAACCACTAGAGACTGAGGATCAGGGGGTCCCATCCAGCCCTGTGTCCCTAAAGGTCCCTGCTGGGGTGACCCAGATGAATGGGAGCAGTGGAAAAATTGCTTCAACCTGGCCTTGGACATCTCCAGGGATGGGGCAGCCACAGCTTCTCTGGGCAACCTGTGCCAGGGCCTCCCCACCCTCACAGCCGACAACTCCCTCCCAATATCCCATCTAACCCTGCCCTCTGGCAGTGGGAAGCCATTCCCTGTGTCCTGTCCCTCCATCCCTTGACCCCAGTCCCTCTCCAGCTCTCCTGGAGCCCCTTTAGGCCCTGCAAGGGGCTCTCAGGTCTCCCTGGATCCTTCTCTTCTCCAGGGGAACCCCCCCAGCTCTCCCAGCCTGTTCCAGAGCAGAGGGGCTCCAGCCCTGGGAGCAGCTCCGTGGCCTCCTCTGGACTCTCTCCAGCAGCTCCAGGTCCTTCTGCTGTTGTTCCCAGGGCTGGAGCAGCTCTGCAGGGGGGTGTCACCTGAGGGGGCAGGGGGCAGAATTCCCCCTTGCCCTGCTGTGGGATCAGCCCACGACAGGGGGGTTCTGGGTGCCACCACACATTGCTGGGTCATCCCAAGCTTCAACCTGCTGTGGTCTCGATGCATCATCCCCATCCCTGCAACGGGATGGGCACCAGATGGTCTTGGCAGCTCCTTCCAGCCCTACATGTCCACAACTACAACCATGGAGCCCAAAATTCCCTGCCCACGTGTATCCTGCTCCAGCCTGCCCGCGTGGACATCCCTCCCGAAATTATCTCCTCTCTATCTCCCAAAACCACACAGCCAGTCCCCAGTGCTGACTCATTCATCTCTACAGCTACTACAAATTCTCATTTGCTTCACATCTTTTGTACCTCCAGGGTCTGAGATGAATGACAGAACCTTAGCAACAGGCAATTCATTAATACCAGAGCCAGGCCAAAATTTTCCACTGAAGCTTTTATTGTTTTGTTTCCTCTGCCAGGAAAGGAAATTGGTGGGGGAGAAAAAACTAATTGCTTTGGTAAAGAACTGGAAACCTGGTTTGTGCAATATTGCTTCTCTGGGGGAAATTCATGGCCTTGGTACTCATTTTTTGATACTCTGCAAGGGGCGTGAAGTGTTTCCTTTCCCTTTTATATCTTTTGTCTTCAGGAAATAAAGGTAACAAAAGGAGAAGAATGCAAGACAAAGAAGAAGAAGAAGGGGGGGGAAAAAACACCCAAGAAACACCTAATTCTGGTGTTTTTCCATATTTTCCAGACAAAACCATAAAGTATTCACTCATTCCTTCTCGTATTTTTGCCAAATGTGCTACTAATTGTTCCACAAACCCAGCAAATGCCACTGTCTGCACATTTTGTCACCTGCTCTCTCTGGTCCCAGACCTCCAGGATGAACTCCAGCAGGGAGGAGAGCTCTGCCCATCCCCTCCCAAGCACTGCAGAACTGGGGTCACCAGGGTCACCCCTGTGCCCAGGACAGATAAAGCCTCCGGTGATGCCACCAGATCCTCCTACAGGACATCAGAGAACTGAACAAGAAAAGGTTCCATCCACCAGGGGGTGGCCATATTATAGCTAATGAGTAAATAAATATATAAATAGTAAAAATACTGTTAATAATACAAATAAATAGTAAACAACAGACGTAAGTGCTACTTATTCTGTAGGATCCCTGAGCACAGGCAGTCTCCAGCAGACACCCACTGCTGCTCTGGCCTCTCCAAAGGCTTCTGTGCTCAAACAAATCACTCATCCTTGTGGCTGGGAGGAGCCTCCATCCTCCACGGACACCACCACCAGGCACCACCTCTGCCCTGCACCTCTGGGCAGACCTGGCAGGAGCTCACTCCCTGTCGAGGTACACAGAGGTTAAAAGGGGGAATTGTTCCCTTTGGCATGGACTCCCCCCGTGACCTTGGGCTGGCTGGTTACTCCATTCCACACCCTCAGCTATTCCTCATGTGGCAATAACACCAAGGGGGGCAGAGAGAGCTGAAAACCCGCTCCTGGTGTGCTCTTTGGTTGCACCAAGGAATCGTTTGCCGGCCTTGGAGCATCACATTACGCTGCTGCGCAGCAGTGGCAGAGGACTGTAAGGAAATCTCCCCTGCTCTCTGCTGCTGGGGAGCAGCACGAGCCCATCCCTGCACAAGGCCAGCAAAGGCCACGGAGGACAAGCCCCATGTGAGCCACCCCTGCTCCAGTCTAGTCACCAGCAGATAGTCTGGGCTGCTGGGTGGCCCCCAGGGCTGCCCAAAGAGGCTGTGGAGCCTCCACCCCTGGAGGTGTTCAAATATCCACCCAGTGTGTGAGCAGCCAGGCTCTCGGTAGTAACAAGGATTTGGAGCATTTGGCTTTTTAAAAAGAACCCAAACAATAAACAACGCTTAGGAGATGCCTAATTTGAAGAGAAAATGAGAACAATTAGCCACAACATCACTTATGCATTAATGAAGAGATGCTTGTGTTCCAGGGCTGAGCATCAGAGCAAAACACTCCTCCTGCAATATGCTGCAAGGAAGGAAAACATGGAATGGGAGAGCAGATGAGGGCCCAAGTGGAAAGAGAAGCTCTAAGGGTGTCCTGAAAGCCAAGGAGCAACAACAAGGAGAGCTGAATCCTTCTAGTTTCCTCTTAGATTTAACATCCCAGCTGATCCAACCCCTTTCCTTGGGGAGGAACCCCAACCCAACTGCTGCAGGAATTCGCTGGAGCAGACTGGAGGGACGGGAAGGTGAGCAATCTTCATTTAAATATGCAAGTAAATAAGTCTAATTATCCTTGCAGCAGTGCAAGAGGAGCATCACAACAACCCTCCAGTTCCAGGAGAGCTTTCTGCTTTAGCGCTTCCATCCCCAGCACAAGCCCAGCCCTTGCAAGGTGAACAGACAAAAAGCCCAGCCTCAGATCCCAGCTGGCAATGGCAGATTAAAGGGCTGTGTCACTCCTGGAAAACCCTTTTCCCACACACTCCACCCCGGCACAACAGAGCCCCCAAAAATCCCCGGCCATTTTCTCCTGTGTCAGTCAAGCACCACCGTCACACCTGGATGCTCCTGAGCCTCCAGCACCACTCACATCCCCAGGGAGAGCCAGAGCTGATGCTGAACGACAGCAAAAATCAAAATCACACTGCTTGCACCACCCGGGGACGAGGGACAGGAGGTGACTGCCAGCTCTGCTGTGCCACACAGTCATCGGTGGGACAGGGGAGTCAAATCCCAGCTTCAGCTTGGATCTGCGTGGATGTACCACCTGTTTGATGGTTCGGTGTCACCTCCAAACCTCCCCAAGGAGGAAAACCAATAACTGAAAGGCACAAATACCCCGGCGTTCGCGCGGCGACAGGGAGAAGCGAAAAAGGCTGCGATGACACTTTCTGTCACCACAACCCCCGTGTTTGCTCCCTGCCACCTCCACCCCGGGCTCGGCAGCGGTGGGCTCTGCCAAAGGAAAGCTCTGGAAAACACAACCGCAGCAAACCCTCCTTGCAAACGTACGTGCAAGGGCAGCCACCCCATCACTTTTGTTTTGCATTCCCAACACATCCACCAGCCCCTTCACCCGGAGAGGAACAACAACAGCAGCTCGCGGCGAGGAGTTTCGCGCCCCGAATCCCAAACAAGGTCTCTTGTTTGAGGTGAAATAAGGGCACCTGTTCCCGGTGGAGGGGAGGGGGGGGAGGGCGCTGGGGGGGACACGGGGATGTGTCATCCCCCGCCGCGCTGCGTTAAACATGGCAGCATCCAGGGCTGCCCCACCCAAGCGGCCTGGGATGTGTGTGTGTGTGTGTGTGTGTCCTGCGGCCCCGGGATGCTTTGTCTCGGGGGTGCCCAGCCTGGGATGATTCCCGGGACCCTCCTGCGCGTGGGGCACCCCACCCGCGCGTGGGCCCCTTGGGATGCTGCTCCTTTGGGTTGGCTGCAGCACGACACCCAGAGATGCGCCGGGAAGGGACCAGCGCCGGCTCGCACATCCTGGAGACGTGACCCCAGACGTTCCCCCTGCGGAAATCCAAGGCGGTGGGTGTCTCTGGATTTTGGGATGCGGGGGGAGGGACCACACACACACACAAAGACACTCAAATCTCCTGCCAACCCACCCGACAAAAAGCGTCCATGTATTCACCACCTGCACAGCATCTACTGCCTAATCACCGACCCCAGAGAGGGGGGGAATTTTAAGGACAACCCCCTCGGGCCGGGGATGCGCAACCCCCCCACCCCGGAATGTTTCACAGCCTCTGTCCCAGGGCGGGATTTTCCTCCCGGGGACGTGCAAAGGGGGACCGGAGAAGGGCTGGCGAGGGGTCGGCAGGCTGGGGGGTCTGGACGGGGGGAGGATCTCACCTGTAGGACGAGCTGACCCCCGCCGCCACCTCCTCCTTGATCTGCCTGTTGAGAGCATCGGCGGCCGCCCGGCCCCTGCCCGGCTCGGCCAGCTGCCCGCCCGCCTCCTCCGCCTTCTTCCGACCCTTGTCTCTCCCGTCCCCGGCCCGCACCGCTTTGGGATGCTCATCCTCCGCCTCGGCGTCTTCCTCCTTCTTCTCGGGAGCGATGTGCACCTTCCGCCGCTTCTCCTGCGCCGGTTTCTCCGGGGAAGCGCGGTCCAGGGCCAGCACGGGCGAAGGGCCCGGTTTGGGGATCCAGGGGTGGTCGCCCCGCTTGGGGATGGGCCAGGCACGGAAATCCTTCTGGTACTGCGTCTCCTTCTCGAAGGGAGTGTCCGAGGGCTGGTACTCGCTCTTGGGCTTGCAGCTCGGCTCGGGCCGCTGCACCTTCCAGGGCTTGTAGTCGTGCCGCATCACCGAGTCCGCCGGAGGCGAGGCGTGCGGGGCCGGGCCGGGCCGGGCTGCACCGGGACCAGGCTCCCCGCCCGCCGCCGCCTCCCCGCCCGGCTGGGTCTCGATGGGGGCCGCGGGGCGCGGCGGGGCCGCGGGGGGATGCTCGGTGGCCTCCGAGTACTTGGTGAAGACGAGCGGGACGGCGATGTCCGCCTTGTCCAGCTGGTTCCAGAAGCGGGCGATGCAGCAGGCGCGGGTGATGCAGGGCCACGCCATGGCGGCCCCGCAGCGGGAGCGACCGAGCCCCGCACCGCGAGCGGCACCGGCACCGCACCGGGATCGCCGGGATCCTCGCCGGGATCGGCTCCTGGATCCGCTCCGCCCCCACCGCGCGGGGCGGGGCAGCGCAGGGGCGGGGCTTGGAGGGGCGGGGCACGGGGGCGGGGCTTGCACACGGGGGAGGGGGGACGGGGTGTGACACACCTGGGCACACACCTGAGAGATGGGGAGAGGGGGTGACACACCTGGACAGGCACACCTGAGAGATGGCTCTGTGTGTGTGTGTGACACACCTGGACAGACACACCTGAGAGATGGCTCTGTGTGCGTGTGTGACACACCTGGACGGGCACACCTGAGAGATGGCTCTGTGTGTGTGTGTGACACACCTGGACAGACACACCTGAGAGATGGCTCTGTGTGTGTGTGTGACACACCTGGACGGGCACACCTGAGAGATGGCTCTGTGTGTGTGTGTGACACACCTGGACGGGCACACCCAGCCGCACACACACGTGAGGACATGCGCAGGCGTGTGCATTTGCAGGCACACGCGTGCCCGTGCACACTCACATCTGCACACATGTGTGCACGCATGGGACCGCAAGCACACACCAGGCACTCCCGTGTGCACACACCTGTACACACGTGAGCTCGTACGTGTGTGGGCACCACACACGGGATCACACCCACACAGGCAGGTTTGCACTGAAGCGAACACGCAGTGCACACTCACACTTGCACACGCACGTGCATGTGGCAGCACATACATGTACACTCACACTGCACACACACGCACAAACGCACACAGGCAGCTGTAAGAACCCTCACCCGTGTTCACACAGACAGACACACATGAGCACACACACATGCACAAATGCTTGTGCACGCACATGTGCACACACATGCAACACCCCTACACTTGCATGCACTTGTACCTCCACATACACACGTGTGTGTGTGTTTGCACACACTCCTGTGCACATACACATACACACGAACACATAACACATACGTGCACAGACCTACACGCCTACACCTCCCCACCCACACCCCTGGGCACACCCAGATCCTTCAGGAGCTGTTTCAGCACCAGCTGCTGCTCCCAGTTCCCCTCCCCGAGGCAGGGTTTATAGGTGAAGCCAAACACGTGTGCACACGTGTGCGCAAACACACACACACACACATGCTTTATTCTTTCCTTTTGCCCGTTTCTTTCCCATTTCATTGCAGACTTGCAGCTGCAAACCCAAAGCAAAACACCCCCCACTCTGCTCCTGCAGCAAGGCCGGCTGAGGGCTGCCTCCAAAATCCTATTCCCAGGCTGGATTCACAACCCCAAATCCCACCCCACGCTCCATTCCCACCCTCCTCTTTAACCTTGCCTCCACCTTCTCCCAATCCCTTCCTCCTTCCCTCTATTTCTCCATCCCTTCACTCCACCATCCTTCCATCTCCCCATCTCTCCCTTCATCCCTCCATCCCTTCATCCCATTATCCCACTCTCCCTCTGTCCCTCCCTCTCTCCTTTCATCCCTCCAACCCTCCATTCCTCCCTGCATCTTCCTCTGTATTCCCTGATGCCAATAAAGTCCATTTGCACCCAAATCACATCCCCTCCTTCTCTCACCCTGTGCAGACGCCCCTCCCTCAAAGCTCCGGGGTCTTTATCAGCCTCCCTGCACTGCCAGCATTTCCACTGGGAGCCGGACTCCAATAAAAACAGTGATCCCAGTGAAACCCACACACTCAAGCACGGAATTGCCACGAGAAAGAAACAATTCCCACCCGTCAATGGCTGCAGCTGCCAGGAGTGCAGTGAAAGGCAGGATTATTCCTGTCAGGATTGTTCCTTTAATACAATGCTTTGCATCCCCCTATTGATCCTTGGGCCCTGAGGGGTTTGGGTTTGTTGGTTTATTTGTTTGTGGTTTTTTTCTTGTCTTTGCCTGGATTTGCTTGATTCCATTCTTACCAGTAGGCAAACTGTGGAAGCTCATTTTATGGGTGGGATTGGAGCCCTCACTGCTGGGGATGGATGGATCAAAGGGCCACCTTTGGAAAGAGAATAAAGAAACAGCAACTAGAGGTGTCTATGCTTTGTCTTCTGGGATTATATCATCCCTGCCATTACATCCAGGGCAATTAAAACTGGGGATACTAATTAAAGGTTTGGGAAGCTCCTCAGTATCTCCCAGGTTGCACACAGATCTTGGTCTGAGATCTGCTGCCCACAGAGGTCTTGCACGTGTTTGTGGTCTTTCCTGCGGGAAACGTCTTTGAATTCAATCTGCGTTGCTGTTTCGGGGTTTGCTGCACAAAGAGCTACTAGTGAGAATAATTGTCCAGGAAGTTATGTGGGAAGAAGGACGTGGAGCTGCTGGAATGAGTCCAGAGAAGACCACTAGGATGATGACAGGGCTAGAGGTCCGCTGTGGAGCCAGGCTGGGAGAGCTGGGGGAGTTCACCTGGAGAAGAGAAGGATCCAGGAAGACCTGAGAGCCCCTTGCAGGGCCTAAAGGGGCTCCAGCAGAGCTGGAGAGGGACTGGGGACAAGGGATGGAGGGACAGGACACAGGGAATGGCTTCCCACTGCCAGAGGGCAGGGTTAGATGGGATGTTGGGAAGGAATTCTTGGCTGTGAGGGTGGGGGGGCCCTGGCACAGGTTGCCCAGAGAAGTGCAGTGGAAGGTGCCCCCCATGGGAGGGGGTGGAACTGTGTGGTCTTTAATGTCCCTTCCAACCCAGACCATTCTACATCTCTGTGATTCTGGGATATCAGTGTGTTCCTGGTGGATACCAGCCCGTGTGGATCCACTGGAACAGCCCCCACTCTGGAGCTCAGGTGTGTCCCAGCCCTGCACCCAGCAGTGCCAGCACACAGGGGTGTGCCCAGCACCCTGCACCATTTGGGGAGTGGGGACTGGCCTGTGCATTACCTTTTTTTGAGGATTCCTCACCTTGCAGCCACTCTGGGCTCCTCTCACGTGGAAATGCCCAGTCATGCACTGACCATCCTTTCCTTTCTTGTGGGAGAGGACATGGGCAAAGCTGCCTCGTGAGGTTTTGCAGCATCAGGAGTCTTTGCTGCTCTGCAGATAGCAGGCAGACCTGGGTGGTTTCAGAGGCTGCAGAATGAAAAAAAAAAAATTGCTTGGTGTCTCCTGCAGTGAGACACATACATCCTGAAGCATGGCTGCTCACTCGCTTTCAGGAATCAGCTATGGAAATGCATCACCAGGCAAAATCCATTAGCTCTAATCAGTGGAATTGATGTGCTGGCTGCAAACCTCTCTCGGAGAGGATGGGAGCTAAATAAATAAAAATGTCTCTGTTTTTAAATTACAGCCACCGTGGCAGGAAGCAGGAATCGCTTTCTCCTGTTCCAGCCTCTTCTGGGAAAAGGCCGTGTGAGGCCACATGGTGGGACATTGGTTTTGGGGTGGCCAAGGACATCACAGCATCAGGCTGGAGCAGAACCATGCCCAAAGGGTGTGCAAAGCTCAGTGCAGGAGTGGAAGGTGGGGTTATTTAGGGACCAAACCCCATAGAGGGGTATCCATCTCAAAGGGAGGCTCCTGGATAATCCCTGCCCAGAGGCAGAGGGAGGGGACGGCAGCTCCTCCCATGGCTTCCAGGAGATCTCCAACAAACGCTAGAGTGAACACGAAGAAAAAGAAAATCCTAACAAGGTAGGGCTAGCAGGGACCCCACACGTCCTCAGGAGCCTTTCTTCTCCATCCCAGGGGGACCCTGGGCATCAGCTCCAGGGGCTAAAGGCAGGGGAGACTCCAGCTCCAAAGCCAGCCCTGGAGCACACCAGCAGCCCCCCTGGTGAAGGGTGTTCACCACAGTACCCCAGTGAGATGCAGGAAAGATCCATTGATGTGCATTTCTCTTCACCAGCACTGGCAGGGCTGTCCCACACCCTCCTCTGCTCTGCAGGACGGGTCCCGGCGCTGGTGATGCCGGTCTGAACTGCTCCTGTCCCCAGGATCAATCTCCAGGGATGAGAGAACATGACAACACTGTGGGGGACAGTTTAGAGAGGATTTCTAGTGGCCTCTCACATCTTAAATCATTTTATAATCACACTCAACTTCTGGGAACGAGGTTCTGCCTGGGGTGTTCTTGTTTTCCTTGTCAACTCTGCTTATGATTCATGTATGTTGGGAGAGCATTTCAAGGCCAAATGGGACAGGAGCCAAAGCAAATCCATATCAGAGTGCTGCATAAAGAGAATAATTGAAGTGCATGAAAAGAAGAATTTGACCAATAATTCAAGTGCTCTAAAGGACATAAATTCTTTGATGAGAACCACTGGCATAACGCAGCCGGATTTCAGAAGAAGTGATTTTGTAACAGGTAGGAGGGGGAGTAAAATCTGAAATAATGTGTTTTGAAAGAATTTGTATTAAAAAAAAAAAAAAAAAAAACACACAACAAAAAAACCCCACAACCACAACCACAAAACAAAACAAAACACCCAAAAATCAAACTCAAACAAACCAGCAGGCAGAAGTGGGCTTCTGTCACACCCTCACTCAGAGCTGGGGAGGGACAAAAACCAAGCTGAGTGTAAAGGTATCACGTGGGTTTGGGTGATGGGGAGAAGGAGGAATGGGACTCAGAGAAACCACAGGACAACCACCAAGAAGATACCTTCAGTCTACTTCTGATAATTTTGCCCACTGGAGGGTAAATTAGTTTGGTAGGAAGCTGTAGGAGTGGGTGTGAATAACTGAGGGGCTTTAGGGTCAATGAAAGGAGTTTATCCATGGTTGGAAGAGAGGAGCAGTGATCTGGAGAGTGGTTATAGCTCTTCTGCTGGGGCACCAAGTCCCACATGGTCCACATGTGGTGGGGGCTCGCCAAGGAGCCCTGGACAGCTCCTCCTGGCATCCTGTATGTACCCTGCACTGCTCCTTGCACTGCTTCCTGCACATCCTCTGGGCCAGGCTTTCCCAGCCCTCCTCCTGAAGCCCAGCCAGCTCTCCGTGGACAGCCTGGGAAGGCTCCTGGGCACATCCCACCGTGCTGACTTGCAAAGCCT